TGGGACTCTGGGACCATGAGCTGAGCCGAAGGCAGACGCTTAATGACTGAGCCACCCAGGCGCCCCCTAATCTAGTTTTTTTTAAACAAACATTGATCAAGTGCCGAATGGGTCTCCACCAAATATCCTAGGTGATTTTACATCTATTGTATGACCGAGTTACTTCGAGGTCAGTTGGGTATTGTTGGCCTTATCCTGACGGGGAGATGGAGGGCACTTTCCCCAGCTACGCTACCATGTGTTTTGCATGGGGACTAACAATCAGAGAGCGAGAAGACTTCTCCAAGGCCCTGAGATGGAAACCTTTATCCCCTGGGCTGCCGTCTCAATTCCATTACGAATTCTAGGAAGGGTGTAAGTCTGTCCTTTCGAAGTTATTACTTCTGCCTGGCAGCGTAGGGTCAGCTCGGATGAGAGAGACACCATCTGTCATTGCTTCCGGGACCGGGTCATGTGGGGTGCCCTGAACCTGCAGCAGATGTCTAAAAATAGTCTTCCTTCCCGTGCGAATAAGAAGTACCCAAGCACGGAGAGGCTTGCTGTTTACCACCGGCGCTGGGTGAGAACTTGCTCTGTGCCAGGCCCGGCCCACACAGTCCGATGTGGTAGGTGCTGCTCCTCTTGCTCCTTGCAGGCACCGAGGGGGAAGTGACTTGTCCAAGATCTCACAGCTCCTGGGCGATGGAGTCCGGCAGCCCGACCAGGAGCCCTGCTCCCAGCCCTAAGCAGTCCTGATATGCGCGGGTTACTTGCCGCCATTCCTACGTTCAGGCAGAGGAATGGGAGCCAGGGCAGCTCAGCTGGGCTCTCAGGGTCCCCTGTAGGTCGTCGTCACCTGCAGGCTTCTCTGAGGCCCCCCCACCCTGGGAGATTTGGATCCTGAGGTCAGGGTGAGCCCAGGCTTCTGTGTCGGCAAAGGGACACAGCTCTGGTGGCTGACTCAGAGCCCCCCTTGTTCTGTGGGCCTTTGGGGTCTGGGGAGGGGAGAGCGGGTGAGGATGGGGGAGGGCGGGGCAGGCGGAGTTGTGGAAGGATGGGAATCGGACCCCAGACCGAGGTGAGGGCGGGAGCACAGGGGGGACCCCAGGGCAGCACAGGATGCTGAGCTGGGTATGACCGTCCTCTGGCCCGACCAAACACAAAGGACAGAAGATCAGGCCTTGGCCCCGGAGTGGGGCGCATGTAGGTCACAGCTGGCTTCAGAGGCCTGTCGGCCCTTTGGTTCTCTGTGGTGTTGGCAGCGGGGCTCCCCATTTCAGCAGTTCTGTTCCATCTCTGATCCGGGCTCCCAGATCTCTTTGGGAGACTGCTGTCCGTTACTGGCTCTCGTCCAGAAAAGTGGGCCCATGCGGACGGTTCGCCCTCACTCGCCTTCCGGGGGCCCCGTGTCGCCCGAGTGTCCAGCAGATTTCTCCCCATCAGGAGCCTGGACACTGCTACAGCTGCTTTACCATTCTGGGCGGTGCTGTGGACTCCTGTCTTGTAGAGGGTTTGCCTTTGGCATCGTGGTGAATCTCTCCTGCAAGAGACTCCAGCCGAATGTAAACAGTGCCCAGGGTCCACTGGGTCTGCTGGGAATTCGAGGTTATAGATGGCTGCAGACCAGAGCTCCTCAACCTTAGCACTGCTGACGTCTCGGGCCACATAGTTCCTTCTGGTGGGGCCGTCCTGGGCCCTGGAGCATGTACGGCAGCACCCCTCCCCCTCCCCACTGGGACCCGCGCCGGTTGCTGACCGTGGCCAGGACCAGCAGATTCAGGCGGATGCCTGGGGTGCTGAGGGCCCGGTTTCTGGCTGACCATCACTGAGACCTCTCCGGGAGGGGAGTAGGGGCCCGACCAGTAGGCTGCATGTCTCTGGCTATGGTCCCTGGTGGCTGTGCCAGGCCTCTCCCTTCACCCTGCGCCCTGTTTCAACTTAGGCTCTGGGGGTAAAGAAATAAAGCCCCAGATTTATATGTCTTATGCAATGCGCCTCATGGCCGTTTCAACAGCGTTGAGAAAAATGTGCAAGATTCCCAATGCTTCCGTTCATTACGAAGCCGTTCAGTGTGGCAATCTGAGAGGGGCCCACAATCTCAGCAGAAGCGGGGTGGGAGGGAGACGTGGGCGCCCCCCAGGGCTGGCGGCCACCGGGAGGGTGGCACGCTGGGGAGAAACGGGGAAGGACCCACGTGGCGCTCTGCTGGGCCGCGCCAGCTGGCGCCCATCCTCTGAGGGTGTCTCCCCGCGGCGCCCGAACGCACCTGTGCTGGGCCAAGAGCCTTCCGGGTTTCTGGTCAAGTAGAGAACCTTTGGTTTGGAACATTCAAAGAAAACCTTTAAAAAACAGCTAGTGGAGCGTAAGAGGCCATTTATACCAGAGAATTCTTCATCGCCCGCAGCTGTGATTGTGCGGCCTGCCTCGTGGCGCAGGCCGGAGAGGGGGATTGGAAGAGGCTGAGCTCATGTACCATCCTTGCGTATCCCGAGGCTCTCTTATCCACTCGTACTTGTTTTTAAAAAAGTATTCTGCCTCCTTTTCGTAAAGCTGAGGGTTGTTTCTCACTGACCAGCATTGTGGCCGGCCTAAATGAATTCGAACAGACTTCATAGCACAGTTATTTCAAATTCAGTAGGCTGTCAAGGAAAGAAAACACAAGATGAGACAGTAACATGAAATCAGGAAGACTTTGTGGTCCCAGGTTTACTGCTGGCTGCTGATGAGCGCCCAGGGGCGGGGGAGGCATGGGTTGGGGGTGGAGACTGCCCACGGGCCTCAGAATCGCTCCGTTCTGTCTGGTGGTAGCTCGAGAAGGAAGGGTCTTGAGAGATCACCCAGCTAAGCTGATCTTTTAGAGCCAGCCAGAGAGCCCATGAAAAGGCTCAGGGAAGGGCTGGAAGCAAGGTACCTCTGATGCCCACCCAGGGCGCCTCCTGACCACGGTGCCCCGCTTTGCGCTAGGATGTTCTGGCTTGCTTCACGGGTGAGTGTGACCCTCTGGTGAGTGATAGGACTGTAGGCCCTGCAGGTCTGGGTAAAAACTAGCTGGTCCTAACATTGCCTCGAAACCCATGGTCTTCAGGGTCCGTGTATAATGTGGATTAACCAGGGGTTCGCAGCCGGGGGTGGGGGAGCGTGTTGCAACGTTGCCTCCCCGGGAGCACTTGGCCATGTCTGGAGACAGTTTGATTGTTTGCTGGCCTCCGGTGGGTCAAGGCCAGGAATGCTTTTAGACTTTCAGCCACACACAGGACGGCCTCCACCCCCAAAGTACGGTCCAACCCCAAAGAGCAAGAGTGCTGAGGTGGAGAAACTCGGATTTAACCTAATAAAAATTGGAAATTACTGTTCAATGTGTACATGGTTCACCTTCCTTGAAAAAAGTAAATCCAAGCCTGGTCTGCGATGCCGTTAAAAAAACACTGAACAACGATCAGGAGGGACCGGAGGCCATTTACTTGAGGGGGGAGTTTGTGTCTGAGTCAGAGAAAGGGGTGATGCTCGTGTGCCCCAGGAGGAACATTCTCCTGTTCCCCTCCCGCAGCAGCGCCCAGGCTCAGCTCAGCGCGCCAGCAGAAGAGTGTGAGGTCTTGTCCCAGGGGCTGGGGGTGTCACGGAGTTCCTGCACGTGTGGCCCCCTGGTCACCTGCCAGTCTCTTGAGACACTGGCTGAAGATGCAGATTCCCAGACTAAGCCCTGCTTACTGAAGGAGACTCCTGGGAGGGGCCCCAGGGATCTGCATTTCACGAGCCCCCTGGGCGCTGTTGCGGGCATTGACCTCGAGGACCCTGGCTGTAGGGGAACTCCACTGGGCTGACGGTCAGGGCGTGGTGTTTAACCCCCGACTGGGTCACCTTGGGAAGACTTGCGTCTTCCTGAGTGGGGCTGAGGATTCCCTCCAGACCTCGTGCTCACGGAGGCTGTCAGGTGCGTCTGATTTAGCCCGAGGCTGAAGGTTTTCACCTGACAGCCCTGACCCCCTCGTTGTGTCTGGATTCCAATTTCGAAATCTTGAAACTGCTCATCCACGTGTTCGTCTGAATTTTTTTTTTCAGTTCTGCCCCCTTCTGCATTGTGGCTTTTGTAGGTTTCCAGCTTTGAGCGTCTGGTCCTAGTTGAGACTGTAAGGTTTGGAGAGGTTAGGAACAGCTGTGGAAAACCAACAGCCAGAAAACGTTTCATTGCCTTTTAAACAGGGCCCTGGGGGTGGGGTGGGGAAGGTTAGAATAAATGCCAAAATGCAAAACAAAATTTCTATTAAAAGTAGCAGGGCAGTGGATGACCACATTCAGACTTCTTGCAAATGTTCCCTTTTCATGGTAAATTTTGGCTAGGGGTTGATTTGAAAAAGCAACAAATTGTTCTTTGTTTTGAACATTCTAGTGAAACCGTGTGCTACTTCCTCTTTGTGCTAGTTGGCCTCAGGCTCCTCCTGGCCCCCTGGTCCAGGGAAGGATTCGCCAAGAGGCAGGTCCAAGATGTGTGTGTGGGGAGGAGCCACAGGCAGGGGCTGGCTTCTGGCTTGGCTGGGTGGCCCTGGGAGGGGGGGCCCTTCCCGGCCCGGAAGGCCCGGGTCTTTCCGAGACGGAGACCCCTAAGTCCTGAAAGTCCCTGAATGTGAGCTCGTAGCCAGAGGCGGCAGGACGGTGAGAACGCGCCGGTCCTGACTGTGGCCATGGATACCCATGGTCGGGGTGGGACGGGGCTGGCCTCGCATCTCATGTGCTGCTTTCTTTTCCTTCAGGCCTGGGCAGTTTTCAAAGGGAAATTTAAGGAAGGGGACAAAGCTGAACCAGCCACTTGGAAGACGAGGCTACGCTGTGCTTTGAACAAGAGCCCAGATTTTGAGGAAGTGACAGACCGGTCCCAGCTGGACATTTCTGAGCCATACAAAGTTTACCGCATCGTCCCCGAGGAAGAGCAAAAATGTAACTATCCGTGCCGGGCACTGAGCCCAGCAGAGTCTGCCTGGGTCTGGGGGGGACATCTGGGCGAGTGGTTAGCCGACCGTCCTCTCCTCTGTGTAAGCAGATACCGAGAGCTCTTTCCCCTGACCTCGGCCACCATCCGCTGGCCAAGTGGCAGCTTCCAGTTGAGTGGGAGGTGGCGCCCGTGGGAGGAAAGGGTGGGGAGGCTGCTCACCGCTGTCAGACCAGGGTCTGGTGGTGGGGCCTCCCTGAGGCGCAGTCACGGGGTTGGGCAGGAGCAAGTGGCCTGGGCAAGGTGGGTGAGGTGTTCCTTCTGTTCTAACAATGCCCAGAGGAGGCTAGGGGACAGTCAGGTGGACGAAGCGGGGGGAGGGTAACGTTCTTGAATGCAGTGGGGGACGATGGCACCATTGGCCTCATGGCCAGAGATCAGATAAACGCCTCGGCACGTGGTTAGATCCTGATCATTATTTGGGAAGTCCGGGAAGTGAGGATTCCGGATGGGCCTTCCAGCTCTAAAATCCCGACAGAGCATTCACGAGGAGATGAAAGCAGGAGCCGCCCAAACCTGCCTCACATACCACGGCCCTGCTGCCGTGCCCTGGTTGGACATGGCTCATCGACCGGGAGGCAGTGACCTCTGGTCTGGCGTCAGAAGCCTTTGCGAAAGTGGGGTGCTCTGTGCGGATCAGAGCTGGCCTGGACACGAAAGCTCGTTATCATCAGGGGTTGAGAACATTCTTTTAACACATCCCTTAGCCATGAGATGTAGCAGTTAGACCCCTGCAGCCAAATCCCTTGCTTCTTCCAAGCTCTTTAGTCATCTAGGGAGCCTGAAAGAAAGAGAGCCCTCAGCAACTCTCCGGGGCTGTGCAGATGTTCTCGATTTGATCTCTTCCCACTGGGGGGGGCAATGAACTTTGACACCTACTTCAAACGGGGGGGGGGGGGGGGTTGAAAATGTCCACAGAGAATTGAAAAAAGAAAAGTTAAAATTGTGACTGTCCCAAATCTATAGTGAGCCTGGGTCGGAGAGTCATTTAACTCCTCCCCAAGGGAGCCAGCGTAAGGACAGAGATGGTGGGATGGAGAATGTGAGGCTCGGGTGACACTCGGTCCGCGAGCCCAGCCGCTGGATGTCCTGTCCCTGGCGTGTACCCAGAGTTTGGGGGATTGTCAGAGGTGCCGGTCATTTGTAGCTTCACTCTGTATAAATTAGCACCTAATTTGACTGAGTCAGAACCCGTCAGCAGTTAGTCAAACTAACTGACCTTTCCCTGGAGAACCTGGCGACCTTGACAGGGAGGCCTCGCCCTTGACAGGGAGGCCTCCTAGCTAATGCTCTGGGAGGGCTCTGAAAGGCCAGCCCTGCATGTCTCCCCCTCACCTCCAAGTTCTGGATAATTTTTCATGAACACCAAATGAACTGTGATTTGAGGGAGTGGAGGAGTTTCTCTTGGTTCCCCCCACCCCCAGGATCGGCCGAGCTTGAACTGGCAGGTGAGCCCAGCTTGTTTACAGCGTGGGGTGCAGCCAGGATCACCTGCCAGGGTGGGTGTTACAGAAGAAGCTGGTTCTCAGGGGGCAGAGGGACACTGCATTTGCATAGTGTCTAAATGGACTCACTCTGCTCTGTACTTCAGTGGTTTGCAAGCTTCGCTCGGGGGTGCCCCCTCTACTCCCTACTTCCCCCATCCGCAGCTTCTAGCGAATTCTTGAGTCTGTCTAAGTAGAACTGAGATTCAGTTGGGATGGAGCCATGGGTCAGTTAGGTGCCTGTTGGTTATAAGACACGGGACACGGATCCCTTGATAAAGCAGATCTCTGACCTGGGGGTGGGGGCGGGGAGGAAATGAGCCTGGGGTGGGGGGCTTGCCGTGGGGCCGCTCTGTGCCTGGAGGCCGTGCCCGGTGGAGCCAGCCTTCCTGGTGTGCTGGGCGCACTCATGTCTGGTGTGTGCACAGATGCGTGCTGTATATTTGGAAAGGCCACAAAGACATTTCCTGTCAATTAACTTTAAAAAATGACTCCAATCTGCACACACATTTTGCCAGGAAATCTTTTGAGTGTCTTTGAATAGCCCAGCTTGTGAATGTAACCCATATGGGTGGTGAATGCCTGGCGTGAAGGGTGTCTGGTGGGCAGTCCTTTTCCAGCTCAGCAAATGGGGATGAGCCACATGGCCGTCCTCATCCTCTGAGTGTTAGAAACAACAAAACCGACTTCTCCCTTTGACCTGGCCGCTCAGACAACTGAGGCAGCACGGGAAATAATTTCTAGGCCTTTTCCAAACCGGTGAAGACACCGACTGACTTTTATTTCCTTCAACTCAGCATTAAAAAAACCCCAAACCAAAGAGCCGACTCGATTCCAGCCCCGATGACGGCTGTGGTGGGCTCAGTGCCGTGTGTCACGCGTCTGCCCGATTTTCCGCAGGCAAATTGGGCATGGCGACTCCTGGCTGCGTGAGCGAGATCCCCGAGATGGAGTGCGGGCGATCCGAAATCGACGAGCTCATCAAGGAGGTGAGTGGGCAGCCCGGCCAGAGTGGCCCCGGCTGCGGAAGCTGCGAGGGTCTCGGGGAGGAGCGGCATCTCACCTGCCCTGCTGAGGCGTCCCGAGCCCTGGGCGCTCTCAGGATGTGGCACCTCCACCCCCCGCCCCCCCCCGGCCCCGGGGTGCAAGGTGAGGCCGGCCTCCGCCGTCTGGCCAGCCCCTTCCCCTGGTTCCCCAGCTTCATCCCGGGGCCGGGGCTGGGCTCCCTGCTCTGTGCTCCAGCTATAAGCGTATCCTATTTTAAACGTTTTGAATGGCAGTCTTAGAAAATGCATCACGGAATCCCTTGGCTTCTTCGGTGGGCTGCACTGAACAAAATGTAAACTCCCCACGCGGCTTGGGGGTTCCTTACGAAGCTCCCAGTGGGCAGGCTGCCTATCTTAGAATCTGCCGCTGGGAGGAGGGTGATCAGCCCATGAGAATTGTATGTAAACTCACTCAGTTCATAGGCTCTAAGTAAAGGCTTAGTGGGGTCTCCTTAGGCAAAATGGGTGGGGTTTTGGATGCCCCTTTTAGCTCTACAGATACCCTATTACCATCCGCCTCTTACCTCTGTTGTGTATGGCTCTGACCAGGTGGGCTTAGCATAGCTGAAATCACTGCACACAGTCCTCATAAAAGGTGGTGTGGGTGCTATAGAAATCCTTCCTAATACTCATGTGGCAGTAGCGGAATTTTTAGGAGTAGCGCGGCGTCCGAGGATGCAGATAACAAAATGCAGCCTCCTCTCAGCGGCCTGAGTTTTGTGCAGATGGCAGATGCTGAGTTTCTGGGTGGTCTCTGGCAGCTGACCGAGTGAATTCCTGGACTCTCATCTCCAGCAACATCCCGTCTCCCTGCAGGGCTTTCCTGCTGACTCAGCGAAGAGAGTGAGGTGGTTGGGTTGGCACACCGGGATTCCCAAGAAACGCAGAGTTCAAAATATTGGCTAATCAGAGGTATCAGCATCCGTTCAGGAATAGGCCAGAGCTCGGCAGTCCGGACGTGGAGAAGGAAGGAGGATGCGCTAAGTCATGGCAGAGTCTGTCCAGTGTCACTGGTCACTGGTGTCCCGGAACCTTCTGCCTCTCCGGGGCACCGGGGCAGCTGGATGACCTGGCCGTTCTGTTTTGCGACAGGCGGTTTCACAAAAAAGGCCATAAACTTATTAGGGGTCCTGCAGAGGCTAATCACTCAGGCACATGGTTTGATCGCTAAGCCCCGTGGGTTTGTTTTGGATCCTTCATGATGAGAAGTAAAACTTTCCTTTTGTCTTGGGATAAAGATGGCAGTATGTCTTTGGTTAAGTCTAAACCGTTCATCTCTACAAACACCGGAGTCCCACTCTGGAAGCCCAGTGACCACCGCTCTTCTCTCGCCCCGTTCCTACAGCCTTCCGTGGACGATTACATGGGGGTGGTCAAACGGAGCCCCTCCCCGCCAGAGGCCTGCAGGAACCAGCTCCTCCCGGAGTGGTGGATGCAGCAGTCTGGCGCAGGTGAGGATGGGCCTCCGGGCTTGCCCCACATGAGGGGGCGGGGGGCGTGGCGCTCACCCCCTTTCTGCCTTCAGGCAGTGGGGGGTCACGGGCCGTGGAACTACGGTGATCCCTATCTTGTTGAAGGTAACTGAGCCCCCTTCACCACGGCCTCTTAGGAGGGCACACGGACCCTTCCCCCGGGAGGGCTCTGCGTGCCGCCTGGGCTCCTGGGAGGGTCGGAGGGGAGGGAGGGGCGGTGGCAAACCCCTCCCAGACCAGAGGGGAGACGGGCTTTCGGCCACACTCAAGCTTGCCACGTGGGCCTGCCAGCCACTCTCCTAGGACATCAGGGACCCCTCAGAGCCATGGGGAGCCCAGGGCATCAGGAGAGGAGGGGGCCCAGGGCCAGGACGGTGCAGTGGCTCACTGGGAGCCCTGGATTTGAATCCCATGGGCGGGGGTTGCGTAACTTATTCAAGTCTCAGTCCTCTCGTCTGATGGAGACCCCAGGACCTTGTCCCGGGGGGTCACGGGGGCCGAAGGAGACATCACGCATTTATCAGCTTCTGATGCCTCCCCCCACCTTCCCACTCAAACAACTCTCCTCTGCGCGCACGGATTGCTGTGCCTCCTCCCTCGGGCTCTTTCCCCTACTGTTCCCCCATGGGAGACTGGGAGGTGACTCTGGCTCAGCTGGCTTCAGAGGTCGCCAGGCTGTCAGGTGGCAGCTTGGCCTCCGGGGCCCTGGGCGAGCCCCCTCTCCCTGCACTGTGGTGACACCTCGGGGTAAGCTAGCTCGGGCCCCAGGCCCTCTCTGGAGACAAGGCCTGGATGGTGGGCATGCAGTCCCGTGATACTTCGGGAGCAGGGCCTTGGGTGGGAGGAAGTGAGACCCCAGAGCATCACACTGACCATCGGTCAAAAATCCCACAGCACAGAACGTTTCCTCCCCCTCTTTCCTGGTTGAATTGAGGTCTGGTTTACAAAATGTGGGTTACCGTGCTGGGGCGGGGGAATTCCCAAATTCAGCAGAAGCCTGTGGCAGGAACTCAGGAGCACACCACGTGTGGCTTTTAAAGAAACTTCTGGAGAGGGAGCATTTGGGTTGGTTCCCCACATGACTGGGTCTGAATCTGCCTTTCGCTTTCTCCGGCAGGCTTGCCGCTGGTGACGGGCTACACTGCCTACGACGCGCACCATTCAGGTATGGGGCTGCGCTGGGCCGCGCGGGGCCGTGCTGGCAGGTGGGACATGGGTGTGCTTTGAAGGCAGAGCTCAGAGGACCTGTGTGGGCTTGCACAGGTGGGTGGACGAGCCGATCTGGTGTCAGAAGTCAGGACCCTGATTCCTCTTCCTCACTGTTTGCTTTCGGAGCAAGCGAGGGGCCAGCCTTTTTGAGGTTCTTCTCGGATTGGACCAACAAATAGATCCAAAGAGCTCTTTCTGCATAACCTTGCAGGAGAAGAGCCTGGGGACAGCTCGGGCCCAGCTCTGCCCCTCTTGTGTGACCCCAGGCAGAGTGATTTGAGCCACTCAGAACCTCACTAGAGTGTGGTGAGGATTAAATGGAGTGGCATTAAAAGTTTCTGGTAGGGACGTCATTGGTCAACAAACGTCACCAGTGTCTGTCATGAGTATCCATTTCTTTTACTCTCTTCCACACTGAAGTTCATAATGATAATGATACTAATTAATGTTGATGATGGGATGATGATGATGGGGATGGTGCTGCTGCTCCTGGTGTTGATGATGGGGATGATGGAGATGATGATGGGGATGATGGAGATGATGATGGGGATGATGGAGATGATGGTGGGGGTGATGGAGATGATGGGGATGATGGAGATGATGGGGATGATGGAGATGATGGGGATGATGGAGATGATGGGGATGATGGAGATGATGGATGGGGATGATGGAGATGATGGATGGGGATGATGGAGATGATGGATGGGGATGATGGAGATGATGGATGGAGATGATGGTGGGGATGATGGAGATGATGGGGATGATGGAGATGATGGATGGGGATGATGGTGATGATGGAAGGGGATGATGGAGATGGTAGTGGGGATGATGGAGATGGTGGGGATGATGATGGGGATAATGGTGGTGGCTGGCATTACTGAATGCTGACTAGGTGCCAGGATCAGTGCTGAGACTTTAATGTCCGCGTCTCGTACTCCCCATCACCCGTGGAGACGTGCTCTTGCTCCTCCCACTGCATAGGCTCAGAAGCCCTGGGTCACACAGCCGTGGGCTGCAGAGCTGGGACATGGCTTTGGGCTGTCCCATCCATGCTCCTGCCCCTTATGGTCCGAGGTGGCATCTGGTACATTTTTGTCTACTTACGTTGGGGACTCTGACGTCCTGCCAGTGGCCCCTGGAATTTGCATTCCAGCTCCCTGATGGGGCCTTGGAGTGAAGGAAGCCGCTGTCTTCCCCAACAGCTGTCAGTTCTATGAGAAGTGAACAGCCTGACTCATCAGGCTGGACCACAGAACGTTAGGTCTGGGGGACCGGAGGTCTCTTGGTGCAGAGGAGGAAATGGGGCTTGGAGGTGTCTGGGCCAAGGCCCTCATGGGATGGGTGTTTGGGGCGGTGGAGGCAAGAAGACGACACAGAGAAGCGGTGTTCCTGTTCCTAGCACTGGTGTTGCCAACAGAGCCGTCCTGCACACTGGGGCCTGTCACAGAGGGGGGAACCCAGACTTAGAGGTTCAGTCGCTGGTTGAGGTCACCCAGCTGGTAAGCAGGTGGCCGGGGTCAGAGCCAGGCACCTGGCTGTCTCTTCCGGGAGGCCCTGGCTCGCGGGGCCAGGCCTCTGACTTAGTCAGCGCTGGGCTGCGGCCGGTGCAGTCTGCTGACCGGTGCTTTCTGGGGGCAGGAGGGGAGCCGGGGGGCAGGGCCGAGGCCTCTGGGCGAGGAGGAAGTGTGCTCGGTTGCCCCGTCCCAGCACACAGCGGGTGAAGCAACCCGTAGCACTGCCTCATGCGAGGAAAAGCCTAACACGCTCTTTTAGAAGTTGTGGACTTGGGTACCCCTGTTCCGGTCACTCCCCACCTGTGTAAATAAGTCAACGGCAGGGGTCCCCTGTTGTCAGCGCCACAGGGACGAGGTGATGAGTGACCGGGCGGGTGAAGGGTGGCAGGGAGGCTGGACGCCACGGCCTTCAGATGCCGCCGGGCTTGATTTCCCCATTTTTCTGGAGAGATCGGAAGTCTAGGTTTTTTGTTTTTAAAAATTTTATTTATTTATTTGGGAGAGTGAGAGACAGCCCGAGAGGGGGGAGGGTCAGAGGGAGAAGCAGACCCCCTGCTGAGCAGGGAGCCCGATGCGGGACTCGATCGCGGGACTGCAGGATCCTGACCTGAGCTGAAGGCAGCTGCTTAACCAACTGAGCCACCCAGGCGCCCGGAAGTCTAGGTTTTTATGTGAAGCCTTCCCGAGTGAAATGCTGACCACAAAGCTGCGTTAATGACACCCCAGTGTGCTGGCAGATCCAGATGCGCCCGTGGCTGTGTTCACGACGTTTGGGGGTGAAGGCAGGGGCTGAACTCGGACAGCGGGGTGCCGTGCTGAGGACCCCAGAGGCAGAGCCGGTCTGCTGGGGACGAGGGAATCCAGTGTCCCCCACTCAGCAGTCATGCCATCCGAGCAGACGCCTTAGCCCGTCTACACCTGTTTCCTTACCTGTAACAGTCACCTCTGCCTCAGGGCCGTTGTGAGGATTAAATGCTCCTAGGTGGTATCTACTGTAGAGACCCGGAATTAGGATTTGGAACTTCAGGAGTTTCACGTACACAGCCACTGTCTGGTCCTGTTAATCCTGCTGTATCTAGTCGGAGCTGCTCGTGGGGTGCTCACGTGTGCTAAGTGCAAACATGAGCTCATGCCATCCTCAGCCGCCGGAGGAGGTGCATGCCACTGTTCTCTCTGCTGATGGGGAAACTGAGGCACAGAGCGGTGAAGTTGCTTGCCCCTGGTCACACAAGTGGGCTCCCAGGTCAGGGTGCCTGTGCTCCCAGGATCGTCCCCCGGTTGGCGGGTGGCTGTTGGGGGGCAGGACAGGTAGTGGAGGGCTGCTGAGACTTGCGGAAGGCCCCGGTGGTGGCTCTTCCTCCGCGGCTCACCTGTCCGGGGCAGTGGTCCTCGCTCAGGCCCTGCCAGCTTGAACCTGCCCCCAGCTACGCTGCCCTGTGGTTCCGGGGCCCCGGGACAGCCTTGCGCGGGCATCTGGGGAGCTCCCTTGGAAGCAGCCGGTTCTCCTGGCCGCGAGGCACTGCTAGGAGGACAGCGAGGCAGCAACAGGGCAAAGGTGCGGAGTGGTGATAGTCCTCTGGGACAAAGCTCAGGATTGTTCTGGAGTGAAGGAAGGGGGCTGTGTCAGCCCCGCCGGGCTTGCTTTCCACATTTTTGCAGATTTTCCCGATTTTGCAGCTGTCACAGACCCAGCATGGTGGGCGGGATGGTGAACCGGGTGTAACAGGGCGCGAGGTCACATGCTGGTGTTGCCCTTTCCCGGCCACCCCACCTGGGCCTCAGTGTTCCCACGTGTCACATAAGTGAATTGGATTGGGACACCTGAGCTCCCAATCTGGCATGATTCCAGAATGCTACTTAACTCGAACAGGGGAGAAAATGGAGCCTGTGAATGGCGGCGGGGAGTCTCATCATTCGATTGAGCAAATGATTTTTTAAAAGATTTGTCAGAGAGAGACATGCACAAGCCGGGGAGGGGCAAAGGGAGAAGCAGTCTTCCCCGCGGAGCAGGGAGCCCGATGCGGGGCTCGATCCCAGCACCCTGGGATCACGAGCTGAGCCGAAGGCAGACACTTCACCGGCTGAGCCCCCCAGGCGCCCCTGAGCAAACGATGCTTAAGCAGAGCCCGGTGGGAAGGCCCAAGGACCAGCCGCACTCTTCAGAATTCTGGCCCCATGGCACCAGCTGCCCGAGGCTCAGAGACCCATTTTCTCCCATTAAGGAGGAGTTTGCCCAGAGTTGGTTTTAAGGATCCACCAGCACCAAGCCGGGGCTTCTGGAGGTGACCAGAGCCTGAGAGAATGTCGTGGCACCACCGCCCTCCTCAGTCCCTCAGTGTAGCACGTGCGGGGAGACGCTGACTTAATTTGAACGTTTTTCAGACTCGCGAGAATAGGTGTAGATGAAGGGTTTTGTAGACATTCACCATTTGAAATCCCCGGCACCCCAAGGAGACTGCATTTGTCAAGAAAAGGATCGCATCTTTGTTTACCCTGCCCTGGAATTCGAATCTTGCATTTGCGTCGGTGATGAATTCGGGAGCAGGCCCCTAGGTTACGTAGCACGTAAAACAATACGTGGCGTACGTGCGTATTACGGGACAGCGTAGAGGAGTCTCAGCAGGATCGGGGAGGTGGAGCGAGTTTGCGAACTTCTACATTGTACGGGTCATCGTGACCTTCGCCAGGAGCATGGAGTGCGCTGTGGTGATTGTTTGAGTCACTGGTTTCCTTAGTAATTCTGTATATTCTTGCTTGCTTAAAACAAACAAATGCTTTCTAGAAGGGTGCATGAACTTCCCCGAATGCCCAGAGGCACCCGAGAACTGAACCCGCCCCCCGTTCCCTGCGGCGAGAGGCCCTGCAGCCCCTGACCGGTGCCCCTCCCGCCCGCAGCCTTCTCCCAGATGGTCATCAGCTTCTACTACGGGGGCAAGCTGGTGGGCCACGCTACCACCACCTGCCCCGAGGGCTGCCGCCTGTCCCTGGGCCAGCCGGGCCTGCCGGGCGCCAAGCTGTACGGCCCCGAGGGCCTGGAGCTGGTGCGCTTCCCACCGGCGGACACCATCCCGAGCGAGCGGCAGCGGCAGGTGACGCGGAAGCTGTTCGGGCACCTGGAGCGCGGCGTGCTCCTGCACAGCAGCCGTCAGGGCGTGCTGGTCAAGCGGCTGTGCCAGGGTCGCGTGTTCTGCAGCGGCAACGCCGTGCTCTGCAAGGACCGGCCCAACAAGCTGGAGCGCGACGAGGTGGTCAAGGTCTTCGACACCAGCCAGTTCTTCCGAGGTGGGTGCCGCCGCCGTGTGATCGGGCCCGTGGAGGGGCAGGGGGGGGCCCCGGTTCCGGTCCAGCTCGTGCTTGCCTGCCCGGCAACCCTGGGGAACCGCTCTGTGCCTCTGCGGGGCCTGGGTGCTGCTCCTAGGCGGCCAGGGTCGCTGCAGTCAGACCAGCTGCATCGCGGCGCCGGCTCCCTGCTGTGTCCCCAGCGCGCTCTGCACCTGGAACAGCACCAGCTCGGGGCAGGTCTCCTGCCGCCCGGCCTGAGAACTCCCAGGGAGTGGGGGCGGCTGCCCTGGAGAAGCGGCGCTGTCGAGGGGGGCGAGGTGCGGTGCGTGAGCTCGGGTGCAGGGGAGCGAGGCCGGGAGCGGTGGTCAGCTCCCCCTCCCCGTGTCCTCCCAGAGCTGCAGCAGTTCTATAACAACCAGAGCCGGCTCCCCGACGGCAGGGTGGTGCTGTGCTTCGGAGAAGAGTTTCCAGACATGACCCCCTTGCGCTCCAAACTCATTCTCGTGCAGGTAAGCTCTCCCGGCCCACTCCTCGGGACTCCGTTTATACTTGGGCTGGAGAACAGGCAGCAGGGACCGGGGGACTCCACCTGTGGACAGAGGCAGGCCCGGGGGAGACCTCCACATGGGGCTCGTGGATTCTCGCCGCCTCTAACAATCTGTGTTCTCCCCCTGCCTTAAGTCAAAACCCCCTTTCTAGCAAGGTTTAATTGCCTCAAGGTCTGAGAGACAGAATAGACTTTTCAAGCCCTTATTTAATCTAGTCAAAGGAATGAAACTCTAATGGTGGAATTCTGAACACTGGCTACCAGGTTGGGACTGTAGACTTTGCAGCAATACCACTTGCCCTTCCCTTGCACCTGCCTATCTGGGACTCATGTGGAGGTTCTCAGCACTTTGGGTAATCAGAGAATCTGGTCAGGGTCTGAGACTGTCCCACCTCCACGTCTGACCTGTGCCCGTCCCTCTAGATCGAGCAGCTCTACGTCCGGCAGCTGGTGGAAGAAGCGGGGAAGAGCTGCAGCGCCGGCTCCCTGGTGCAGCCTCTTGAGGAGCCCCAGCCAGACCAGGTCTTCCGGATGTTTCCAGACATCTGCGCCTCACACCAGAGACCTTTTTTCAGAGAAAACCAACAGATCACCGTTTAAGCCTCTCTCTAGGGCACCCTGTCCTGCCTACACCTCGTGCTTCATTATTACAATTACTGTTGTAATTATTTAAGGATGTGGATTCCTGTGACCTGGGGCGGGATGGTTCACTCGGCTCTTAATTCAGTAAGGGCGTTCCCTGAGGACTTGACCTTTATACCTGAACAGGAGAACCATGACTCTTAAAAAATGACCTGGATGCTGTAACTATAACCTGTGATTCAAACATTTATTTCCCCTAATTATCATTAGTTGCTAGATTCTTTCAGCATTTGGGGATAATGGATATTTCCAAAGACTTACCCAATTTTACTAGCTCATAGCTGCTTCCTGGAAAAAGATTTGGAGAAGATCAACTTATCAGAACAAGGCTGCTTTTTGTCTCTACTTTGTGTTAGAGCGATAGATTCATGATTTCATACGCTTGATCGATGTGGAGTATCTTTTTTTTTTTTTAAACGTGTTAAGATGCCGAAATACTTAGATAACAGTCTCCCTTCAGCAAGAGAAAGCAAAACGCCAGGCTTGTTAGAGGAGTGGACACCCTGCCTCGGATTTCCTGCCAGGCGGGTGTCTCCAGCACCAGATGAACTGGTGTGTCCTCACCCTCACACCACGAAAATCTTCCCTGTGGGCCTTACTGCCAGGAATCTTAGAGCTAAAATTTTCATTTCTATAATTAAATCATTCCCAGATCCCTTGCTCTTTTCTTCTTGCTAAATGGTTTTGACCTGTTTTAAAAATATGCATACTTTTACTTGTCCTATTGTAAACTGCTTTGAATTTTTTTTTTTTTTTTATAAAGTGAGCAGGCTATAAGCCACAAATTCAAAAAGTACTGGTAGATTGTACAAGCATTTTGTGCCTTCCATTCAGCGAGCCCAGAGCCCAGGCGGTGGTGGGGGGAGAGTGGCCGTGGCTCGGGCGTATCGGAGAGGCTGTCGCCAGCACCTGTCCTCACCACCCCGGTCCTGGGGTGGATGGCGGCAGGGACAATGCCTTTCCCCGACCTAGGACTCCTTGAGGTTCAAGGTGGCCGTGGGCCATACCCAATTCTACTGTTCAACAGAGTCCTGTGGTGAGACTCCCGACGGGAGAAGTCCCAGTTTTAGCCCCCGAAGAACTTAGGCTGTTCGCTAGCAGAGACGATGCATTCACTACCCCACGTGTGTCCGAACGGCAGGGGCAGGTCAGCCTTCCTGCTGGCCGTCCGGTGCCCATGACACCTCTCCACAATGGCTCCAAAAACACTTTCACGATTAGAAAGCACCTCAACATGTTTCTCTGGGGGAAAAAAGGTATTTTGCTCAGTTCGGGTACCTCTTCCCTGTGTCCGGGGTGATGTGCCAAGACAGGCGGAGGTGTGTGCCGTGGGCCCGGGAGCCAGCCCCACGCTCAGTGGGGACCCCAGGCAGGGCTGGGGGCTCTCCTTCCACGCTCTGGGGGGTGGGGAGAAGGATCCTTGCCCCATTTCTCCTTCATAACCAGCCTGGCCACCACCGGCCCTGGCTCAGTCTCACCTGAAAGGGCAGGAAGGGGCCTTACCTGTCAAGGTGCACTTCGCGAAGAGGGAGAAGCTGGGGTTTGGGGGACAGGATTGCCTCCTGGCAGCCTCGTAACCATGAGTCTAATTTAAAATCCAAGCCCAAAAACCCCTGGTCAACATTCCCCGCGTCCGTGTCCGTGAAGATGACGGAGCAAGACTTTGTCTTCGTAGGTCCCTTGCGCTGTGTTTGAATCCACCTGAAAGTATAGGGAAATTTAGCAAAAGTGGCTTTTCTTCTTTGGCCAACAAAGGCAGCATCACATTGTTAAGGATAACAGATCTGTTTTCTGAGATTGTGTCCGAACAGTGGGTTTTGGTGTCTAGCTCAAACAAATGGTAAAACATAGATCTTGAATATGCTAAATGAATATTTATTTTTGTACCCACTTAAAACGTGTATTGATCTTTTTTGTTCTTTATTAAAATGCCCTTTTAAAAGCTGATTCATGCTCTGTCTTTTAAGTCACTGTAAAATCTTTCCTCATTTAGGGGGAATTAAACAGTGCTGCACTGTGAATTTAAGGATTTTTTTGCTTGTTTTTCACTCATCCCCAAAACAGCAGCAAAAAAGTAGAGAGGCTTGCAGATGATAGAGAACCTTCTGGAGAAAAAGGGCATGCTAGGTTTTTCTGAAAGTGCAGGGGTCCCTTCGTATGTGTTGTGAGGAGTGTGGAGGGAGGAGGAGGTTGGTGGGGATAGGCCTGCCCTGGAAGGTGCTGGGACCCCCCTGGTTGGTCAGCTGCACGTGATGGGGACGTGCATCTCTCCATTCATAGACGTACTCACTGCGCTGGGTCCTTAGGGGATCCCAAATTGGTCATCGTGGAGGTTGCTTCATGGGACGTACCTGTTGAACAACCCGGGACAAATCAGTTTCAAGGGGGCCCAGACCCCAGCCAACCCAGGGGAGGTTCCCCACCATGCTCCACCTACAGGCAACGGGCACTGGGACTGTCTAGTCCTCCATGCAGAGATGAGGGAAGGCAGGCACATCCCCGTGGACAGTGGCCTGTGGCCATTCGTGGCCCGGAACAGCTGAATGTGAGAGGCTTTCTGACAATGCCTGGCTGCAGGGCTTCAGCCCCCGGCTGGCTAAACCCCAGGAGAGGCGGCCGTTGGCCAGTCGCTGGCTTTCTTAGACATGTCATGAGTCACACTAATTCCCACATGTCGCAAGCAGAAACTTTGTTTATCAGCAAACCCTTTTCTGCTTGTGGATTCAGGGCCAAATGTGGAAACTTGAGGGAGTCTGCTTCTTCCCAGAGCTCAGCACTCCTGTACAGACCGTTGGCAGACCCTGCCCCCTGAGCTTCTCGAAGGAGAGGAGGGAGGCTGGGGTGCTCTCATCTGCGGAGGGCGGGGCTCAGGGACGAGAGGCCACAGGAATAGCCAGGAGTTCGGAAAATGCTGTTTGGGCCCCAGAGATGACCTGACCTTTGGGACGTGGGGCCTCCTCTGGACAAGTAGCTTCTGGGACCCAAGGGCAGCCAGTGGGACCCGGCTCATGAGACACTTGGTCAGACAAGTGGCCTTCACTCTTCGTATTCTAGAAACATTTACGCAAGTGAAGCTATTTCAACTGTCACTTGGTGAGCGATTGCCCCTTGGTACACTAACTTTTGAAAATCCATCTGGGATGGAAAATTTTGGTTTTCCTTTGTAATGTCCAGATGGATGAAGATGCTGACCTCCTGGGGTAAGCATCCCCAGGATCTGTCGGGCCTGGGGTCCTAGGGGAGTCCTCCCGGAAGGGGCTGTGGGCAGGCACCCCTGGCTGTTCCTGAGACACCTACTCCACACAGCAGCCATGCTGGGAAGCAGGAAGAAGTTATTTGTGTGAGTGATTCAGACTCTCCACAAGAGAGTTTTGCAACTCAACTACTCAGAAATATTTGGAAATTCTTTCTAAAGAATGATCTATAACTAATAACTGTAATTTTAACAGCTCAGTGGGCTGAGAGAGGAGGAGGGGTGGCTTCTCAGTGGAAAGTGGGGCTGTTTTTACTAAAAGCAGGGGGAAGCAGTAAACGTCTTCACCTACTCATCTCCATCTTCCTCTTGGGCATGGGCACATTCGAGTTCTCGCTCATGGTAAGAAACTCACTGGAGCGGGCATTTTCCACACTTACTTGATCTGACGTGCCTTGCGAGCTGTCTGGGTACGCGGGGCCTCATGCGGCCCGACCAACTTCAGGCGTCAAGAGGAAAGCATGCATAGTATTTCTGTCCTGCTTGGGCTGCCTTTCCATCTGGATGGAGGCTGCCAGGGATGGGGGGCCGCCCCTCACACCACCCTCAAACTTACATTTTGCTCATGGATTTTGCGGGTCACAATTTAGACAGGACGCAATGGAGTTGGCTTTCCTCCTGTTCCACAAATCTGGGGGGGG